GCCGAGATGAACATTTTCATTGGGATTTTCCAAATTCTCTGCAAAAAAATTCATGGTTTTTTTCCACTTCATAAAAACTGAAAGAACACCCATGATGATGGTGGTGGTGAAGATGATAATAATGGTGATGGTGGTGGTAGTGATGAAGAAGACGATGATGATTATAATGGTGGTGGTGGTGATGACGGTGGTGACAGTGGTGGTAGTGATGATGATGATGATAGTGGTGGTGATGATGAAGATAGCAGTGGTGATGGTGATGATGATAATGACGGTGATTATTATTATTAATCTTGGCTTGTTTTGCCTTCTGCGATTAAAGCCTTCCATATTTTGACTCCTGAAAACCAGAAATAACCCATTGCTGAGTTTCTGATTTTTCTACCACAGCTGATATTCTTTTCTGTTGGCTGCTCCCATATAAATAGGTTTTGGTTGATTGTTTTCATCAAAATGTTCCCTGTGAAAATCAGAAGCCTCTAGGATTATTTTTCTTTCCATTTTTGACCAGCTTTTGGGTTGATCAGTTTCCTAAAAGCCCAGAAAAGTAGGAAATGCCCTTGGTTTCATTCAGTTCTCTTTACTTATATTAAAATGTAGGGTTTCAAAAACAACTGCCCCCTTTTTTCCACGTGATTGCTTTCTTTGTGAAATGTGGAACCTTCTTTCCTGTAAACCCCAGTCTTGTGCTCTCTGGAGCTAGACTCTGTTATCTGCAGATTTACCACAGACCAAGAAGAAAAAGCAAGGTAGCTGTGGCTTTATTTCCTTGCTTGTCATCCCAATATCAGGGGCATTCACTGCCTCCCCACCCCCCAGCAAACCTTAACCTAGCCCTGCCAGCTCTTTGCCCATGCAAACTCAGATAACCACCATAGGAACTGATTATTCTGTGCTCCCCCTCCGGCTCTATTGCTCGCTGCCAAGAAGATGAGAGCCCTACCACCTGCCCTACTCTGACTGCTACTTCTCCAGGCTAAAGGTAAGTAGCACTTCATTACAAGGTAAAATAGGAAGAAACTAGGGCCAGTTGTCTGCTGGAGCTAGGCCCCAGTTGCAGGATAGGAATGGCCGTGCTGTGTTGTGAAGGGAAGCAGTTCTAGGGTGGCGCAGGGATGCTATCATCATGTGGACCAGGTGACAGCTGAGATGCATGCACTTCTGCAAGAACAGAGTCAAGCAAGGTAGGGAGGGAGACCCTAGAGAAGGAAGTCCTAGAGCACTGTGACATCATCATTCCCATCACTGCCATTATCAATGTTAAATCGCTTGAGAATTCATCTCAGTCACTCCGGCATTTCCCTCGAAGTCCTGAGTTCCCACACTGGAAGCCTCTCCCTTGCTGTGGCAGTGTCTCAACCTCCAGAAAGGAGGAGGATGGTAACAAGGATGATGATAGCTGTTACTGCAGCCTTGAAGGTCCAGGCCCATCCATATTCCCAGTGTCTTGCTGGCTCAATGCAGAGATTTCAGGGCTGTGTGATGACTGTCTGGAGCCGGAAAGCGCTTGCCTGGAAACCCTGTCCTGATAACTCCATGGCAGCAGGGTTTGCTGAATTTTTTTTTAATAAAATATATTTCTATATATAGAGAGTTCTATATACACATCCTCTATCATAAACTTTCCATTGCACATCTTAAACTGCATTAAGAAACCCGTGTTGCTGTTACAATAAATGCACCCACTCCCCTGCACCCCTGCACACCCTCCCTTCACCCATACGTAGTCCCTTAGTGCTGGGTCTCTTAAAACTTCCCGACCAAGAGAGTAGCAATAAGGCCCATGGAAAAGGCATTGCAGGGAAGGTCCCTCAGGGTGCTCTCATGCCATGGGTGCCAAGAGCAATGTTCCCCTTCACCTCACAGTGCAGCTGTAGGCTCTGGGAGTCTCTCTCTGTCCTCCAGCTCCCTCCCCGCACCTCCCCTCCAGTCTCTGTGCTGGTATTTCCTGTTAAAGTGGTGACAGAACCGGTATGAGGTGTTCTCCTCTGCAGCTTTACACATTTCTCAGCACTGCTGTGAGTGCTCTGCACCCTGTATGGCCACTGCCCAACTGCAGAGAAGTAGGAACGTGAGGCAGGAAGCACGTGGCCACTGTGCTGGAAGTGTCTGCGGTGTGGAGGATGCCTCTCGGTCATGTTTCTGCAAGCTCCCACTGTACCAGGGTAAGAGCAGAGCCCTCCGCGCCCCCCCGAACGCGCAGTACAGTCACACCCATCCTGGCTTGCAACCACATCCTTCCAGCTCACTCAGATCTGCTTCAATACTTGATGCCTTCACTGTTCCTGGCAAGGGTGTTTGCATGGGTCAGTCTCCCCAGGAGCAATTCTGCATTCCAGTAACATCCTCCTGGTTGAATGCACCTGCGGGCACTTGGGGCCTGCAGGATGGAGCCCTCCATGGGGAAATCAGCCTGGTTCTTCCTTACTCAAGTCTCTGACTCCTTCCAGTCTCACTCCCCGCTGCCTGCTCGCACTTCAGATGCCTGCTATGATGGAGGAAGCTCTCTGTCCCTTCGTGCTGTGCCTCCTCCTGCATTTCCAAGGTCAGGGTAAGTGTCAAGGGGCTGCATTTACCCCTGGTCCAGCTAGGAAAGGTTCTGGAATCACTGAAAATGAGGGTGTGAAGGGACCTTATCAAGTCCAATGCCCTGCTCAAAGCAGAACCAGCCCCAGCTACATCATCCCAGCCAAGGTTTTGTCTAGCCTCCAAGGATGGAGATTGCTATTTCCAAACCTCCAGGGATGGAGATTGCACCACCCCTCCGGGTGACCCTGGAGTGAGTGCAGGCTGCTGGTTTCTGCAAGGCAGGGACTGTCTCTGGTATTGCCATGCTGCTGTTCATTCTGGCGCTGCCCCAGCACGGGAGTTCCTGGGAGCTGCAGCCACATGGGCACTTACAGGAGTATTAGCACTGTCCCTTGTGCCAGGAGTGAGGGGATAACACCAAGCACTGCACAGAAACACAAGGCATGCAGCCTGCAAACAGCCTAGCAGGCTTGGAAGCATCTGTTTGTCCTCTGAAGGTTTCTGTGCTGAATGTCTCCCGGAACTGGGTAGAAAAGTTTTGTGTCTTTACATGTGCTCACAATGGAAAATTGTGATGGGTGGATGGAGGGTGGGGGTCCTTGCCTTTTAGAAAGAAGCTTTTGCAGCTTTGGAAATCTCTGTGTAGGAAGAGTTTGCAGGTGGGGGCTGCTGCTTTGGTCTGGGGTGCATGGGGTGGGCAGGGGGAATTGGGCAGAACTTAGTGTTTCAGAAGGTTAAAACCCCTCAAACACACCACTGAACAGCAACGCGGGGACTGGGCTGCATGACTGTTACTTAAAGGGGGTTGTGCTTGTTGGAGCAGCTTGGTGGAGTTGCTCATCAAGGGCTGTCTCGGCCCCGATGGCGGGGTTGTATGAATCCAGGTCTGTGGGAAGCCCAGTTCCACGTGTTCTCCAGGCTGGCAGCCCAGCCCTGCCCCTGGCTCTGAGTTCCCTTGGAGCCAGACCGGGAAGTGCAACTACTTTACCCCATGTTCCTCCCCTGGGTTTAGGAATGTATTAACCCCTTGCTCTCTCCTGCTCCCTGTCTTTTCTCAAGTACTGAACTGTAGAGAAATTGAAGTGGCTGCAGCTACAGGGGAAATCAACCGTCTGGGTGGGATGAAATCACCTGGAAAGTGATACTCAGCTCTGAAGGGTATTATTGAATTGTGACAATGTCTAAGAGGGACAGTCGTGTGCACCTCAACACACCTTCTCCGCTAGGCAAGAGAATCATCTTTCATCCTGAGAATCTCTCACTGGAGATTGAGCTGGTTAAGGAGTCAGACAGTGGTATCTATTTTATGGATGTGACATCTGCATTCGGCAGTCTCGATACCACCTGCTTCCATGTGTCTGTGTTTGGTGAGTATCTGGCCCTGCTTCCCCCCAATCTCACCTATTTGGGGGCACCCACTGCCCTCAGCCCCTCTCACTAGGACTTCTCCTTCCAGACTGAGTTTGGCAGCCCAACCTCACAGCACTCTCTGCTCAGCCAGAGCTTGGATGGTAAAATGTTACCCTGTCCTGCCAGGTGCAGGTTGCCGAGTCACCTGCAGCTAGTCCCGAGGTGCATCCTGGAGCCCAGCCAGAGAGGACCAGCAGCTCCTGGGGCATCAATCCCAGCTGCAGCGGGAGATCACTGTGGGCAGCAACAACACCTTCTATCACTGCAACACCAGCAATGCAGCCAGCTGCGGCACGGCCACCATCCATGTCAAACCGCTGTGCAAGTTCCCAGCCACAGGTAAATGTCCCTTAGTAGGAACCTGACCAGGGGTTGTCCCTGTCTGGTCTGAGGGCCCCTTTGAGTCACCCCAAAGCAGAAACGAGCTTCCTGTTGGAAGCAAGTTCTTGTCTCCAGAAACCCAGAGAACAATATTCACTGGAGACTTGCACCTGCCTGCTCCCAAGCTTTGCATGCTCATGGGCCAGACACTTAGGGCTGGGCCTCAGAAGGTATTTAGATACTTAACTTATATGGATATAAAGGGCATTAGGCACCTAAATACTGTCAAGTGATGGCCCATAGTTATTCCATGCCTCCATTTCTCCACTTGTACAGGCAAGGTAATTCTGATGTTGATAGCTCTGGACAACAGGTTGACCCACTGTAGGAATTCATTGGATGGACCTGTAGACCAGGCATGGCTCCCCAGGCTGGCAAGCAGCCATGATGACCCTCAGTCCAGAGCCACACTCTCCCCACACAGCCCAGTGCCCTTCACTCCCAACCTGCAACTCTCCCTCTGCTGAGCTTGGTGTTCCTCACTCCAAAACCATAGCCCCCCATCCCCCCACTGTCCCATAGGACCCCTTACTCCTGACCCACAGCATGCACCCCCAGCCTGGGATGCACTGGGCTGACCTTAAACCCAGCCACACAGGAATACACGGGGATGACCTGTAGCCCGAGTCCTGGCAGCAGCCACATGAAAACAACCGGATACATCCCGAGAGGGCCCAGCTGTGTCGTGACTGCTTGGTCTTGTGACGGCCGGCTCAGCTGCCACTTGCGCACCACTTCCCCGTAGCTCTGTGGAAACTGGGGCCTGAGCTCACTACCGTTTCCCCATTGTGGTACTTACAGTAAAGGGAGTTTCCTCTGCTTTGAGTGGTGTTGCGAGACTCTTGGTGTCAGGCACTGGGACTGCCGCACTCTAGAGCCCCAACCCCAACAGGCACGTCCCGCTCTGGCTTGCATTCTTCACAGCCCAGGGGTCCCCCCTCCCTGGTACTGCCCGCTTCTGCCCAGGTGCAGCCAGGGAGGGACCCCAGCCCTGCCACAGGCTGATTGCTCCGCCAGCTCTGACCCACTGTCATGCTCTTTTCCAGCCTCATCGCTGTCCTACTGCCAGGCCAAGGGGCTCGTCCTGCTGCTGGTGTTAGGGGTGCTGATCACCAGGGCCGTGGCAGTGCACACCATGGCTGGCAAGCAGCCAAAATGGGACTAAGCAGGGCACAGGCCACAGGCCACACTGGTCCTGCTCCCCTCTGGGAGGGAGGGCCTGAACAAGGCATTGGCCTGCAGCTTCCATGAGGTTCCTGTCCCAGGCCAAATGCAACCAAAGAAGCAGCCAGTGGGTCTGCAGGGGCCCAAGTCCCAGCACCGGAGGCCAGTCCTTGATGCTGTGCTCTGGTACAGTGGACACATGGGCATCCTGGAGCAGAGGGTCCCCCCATGGCTGCTTCATCCCCTACCCAGCAGAGCCAGCAGACCCCAGCACCCAGCCTGCAGGGTAGGGACCGGCTGGGCTCAGGTACCCACAGACACACCAGGCTGCTGCCTGGGGGTGGCCCCTGCTTGAGCACAGCTCAGTGAAGCCTCAGGACCCAGGAGTACAGCCACTTGATGGATCCAAGAATGGCCCCAAAACTGCAGGAGTTGCCCCTTTCCACCATCTGCACTGACTGGTGCTGCTGGGTGTGGGGGGATCCCAGTGGCCCAGGACCTAGGAGTTGCCCCAGCGAGGACAAATCTCCAATCCCTGGTGCTTGGGGTGTGGTGCCTTGTTCTTGATACCAGTGTCTGAGCCTGGCAGAGACAGCTTGCCCCATATCAGCACAGAGGTGTCCAAAGCTGAAAGAGAAGGTGACGCAGTGAACTGGGCTCCTTGCACTGCTCTGGGACTGGTGTCTGGTGCGGGGAGCTTATGTCCTTCCATCTCCCTCTCCCTGACCCATGGGAGAGCTGGGCCCTGCTGGGGTTCACCCTACAGAGCTGCCAACATTGCTTCTCTCTGGGGCAGGGATCCCTGCGGGACAGCTGCCACAAGAAGATACAGAAGGCGGTCAGAGCCAGAGGTATGCCATCGACCATGGAGCTGCTCCCTGATGACAATTGCCAAGCCATCTGGGCATGGAAACACAGAGAGGGGCAAGGGACTCGACCCAACTGCCCCAGCCATATCTGCCAAAGTGCAACAGAGACCATTGATCACCTCCTATGGCTCTGCCCGTATGCCAAGGGGGTGTGGAAAAAGGTAAACCAGCTCTGTGAAAAGGTGACAGGAGTCAGGCTGATGACAAGGGAGGTGGTGTTGTACGGACACCTGACTAAACACCAAGGGACCCCGACAACCTGCTTCAACCAGTTCATGTCCTGCATCAGGAGTGCCCTGTGGAAATGCAGGAACCTCCTGGTGTATAGACACAAAACCCTCGAGGAAACAGACTGTGATAACATGTTCCTGTGTGAACTCCAATCCTACTACCAGAAATTGGTGGGAGAGGACGGAGAATATACAGCCAACTCCACCTGGCAAAGGGACACTTGGCACAGGCTCTTCAAGGACTCCCAAGAGAGGGAGTGGACAGGGAGAAGGAAAAGGACAGCAAGATAACTGGACCAGGAGACAGCGACAATAACAGCAGCAGTGTTAGCAGCACCAGAAGCAACAGTGACTATGACAGGGAGTGAACTGTGAATGTGAACCCTGGAATGGGGACTAGGACTAAGAGACTGCAATTGAAATAGGGAAAGGATTGCAGTGGTGAGCGGGAGCGCGGGTGCACAGGTGTGTTCATTGTAACAGGCACACAGGATTTAATGTGGTTTAAGGTGTGTGAAAAAGGTTTTGCTAAATGATATGTATATGTATGTGTGTGTGTGTGTGTGTGTGTGTGTTTAAAATATATATATATGTGTGATCTCTGAATAAACCTTTACTCTGTGCATCTGAACCCTGCCAAGCTCAAACCTCCTCCCCACCCTGCAGTGTCCCATCCACTTGCACCCCACCCCGGCACCCAGGGGGGCTCAGCCCTCCGTGCTATCTGTGCCCAGCTCCCTTCATGCCAGGCTCTGTGCAGCCCCCACCCCGGGTCCCCTTTCACGCAGCCCGGACCAGGGCACTGGGGTGTTATCTGCTGTTCCCGTGCTCGGGGCTGTCTGCCCGGCAGATCTGGAGAGGAAACCATCGCCTCCGTGCTGAGAGCTGTCCAGGCCCCGTGGCCCTTCGCCTCCCTCCGCAGGGCTGTGCGGAGTGACCCGCAGCGGGGACTTGCCCGGGAAGGGTCCAGCGCCGGCTGCAGGGGGTGCGCGGGGGTCACCCCGTCCCCCTGCCCCGTATCGGCACATGGCTCCTCCCTGCACCGCCCTGCGCTGGGTGCGCGGTGCGGGGAGCTCGTGTCCTCCCAGCCCCATGGCCCTGGCCCCGGCGAGCTGGGCCCGCTGGTTCCCCCGGCGGATCCGCTGCCGCCTTGTGCTCCCCTGTCTCCTTGCCTCATCTTATACTTGGATTGCAAGAGCTCTGGGGCAGGGATCTAGCAGACCAGGGTCCACAATGCTTGGCATCACAATAATATAAGTTAATAACCAATCCTATGTCGCATCACATGTAGCACAGTAAGCAGTTCTTTTCGTATGGAAGGAGTTCAGAGAGGATGCTCTGTTGCGAGCAGAAGGAATAAAATGTTGCCAGTGGTCTCTGGGGCAGGTTTCACTGGGTCTGGGTTGAGGAAATGCATTCGTTTGTGATGGGGGTTGACCCCAGTCATCCTAAATGCTACTTTGTTCCTTTTCAAGGTGTACGGTGGTCCGGAGCAGGTGCAGACGCCGCCCCGACAGAGCTGGTCGGCACCGCGGGGGAGACGGTCACGTTTCCTCTCGAGATCCCGGCAGGGGAGACATTAGATAATGCTGGCTGGACGATTGGCACAGAGAGTCTAGCAACGGCGATACCAGGAGACCCCGCGAGTGTCCTTGTCACAGACAGGCGCTATAGGGGCCGCGTGCGTGTCCCCAACGCCGGCCTCGCACTGCACATCACCGACCTGAGGCCGGAGGACGCCGGGTCCTACACAGCTAGAGTCAACACGGATAAAATCATATTTACCAGCCACTTCACGCTGCATGGCTATGGTGAGTCCTAGGTTGTTGTTGTTTTTTTTTTTTACCTGTGTAGCGAAGATTATTCAATCATGTAGGAGTTATACGTCTCTGCCCACTGAGGCTATCTCTCCGCTACATCAAGTTGTGACAGCCTACTTAATGGAAAGGTCTGGGAAGGACACAGAGATGTTCACCCTCCATGGAAGGGGCAGGATGAGCACTTGTGCTTGTGCCCGGTCCGGGGGAGCAGTCTCTGCTTTCCCCACACATCAGCCAAGCGGGGGGCAGTGGACAGATCTGGGCTCTGAGCGTTACAGCTGCAGCCGGGGTAAAGACATGTTGTGCAGCGCCCTTGTCACCTCCTGAGCTCACGAGTGTGGATATTTCTGAGCAAGGACCCTAGATAGAAATATCAGTCACCAGGGCATCTCACACCGGACACATCCCTGCGGGGGTCTTCCAGCCCCAGGAGCCTCCTACAGGGACCATCCAGCATCACCTGAGGGGGGCTGATAGGCCTTTTTCTTGTCTGCTCTGTCACCTGGTGATCTGAGGTGCTCTGCTCTCCCAGTACTGTCTCAGGGAGATGCTTGCATGAAGGCAGGGTGCTATTTTTTCTCCTTCACATCCATCCATATCCTCCCATTTTGATTCCTTTCCTCTCCCTGGAGAGTGGGTGCCTCAGCCCACGATTCACTGCAGTGCCCGCAACTGTAGAAATGGACCCTGTAACATCGCCCTGAGCTGCACCATCCCCAGTGGAGACAACAACATGATCTACAGCTGCAGCACCCCAGAGCGCCCCAGTATAACCGCTTAAGGATCCATCATGAAAATCTCTCGCCCACATCTTCTGATAAACGTCACCCGCACAGGGCAAAACTCCACCAGCAACAGCTCTACAACGGCCTCTCAAGGCCCTTTGTGCAGATAACATGCCCTGTGGGGAAGCTCTGCACAGCCCACACGTGGAGAGAACAGGTATCGGGGTGACAGGTTTGTCCCTACGATGCACCTGACTCTAGATGCTGCCCCTTCCCCTCTCCAGATCCCTGCCCTGTAGATTCCACCCCCCTCCCCAAGTCCATTTCCTGTGACCCTGCTACCCATGGGGCCACATGCACCATCTCTGTGCAGGGAGGGCCGAGCCCCCAAGCTCCCTGCAGGGCTCCTCCTCCCCGTGGAAGGACCCCAGGGGCTGTCCCCATCCCCACTGCCCCTCAAGGCAAACACCGCGGAGCAGCACCAGCCACTTCCCCCTGGCTCTTACCCGCTGCCTTGCTCTATTTCCAGCCTCATCACTGTCCTACTGCCAGACCAAGGGACTAGTCCTGCTGCTGGTGATGGGGGCGCTGATCACTGGGACCGTGGTGGTGCATGTCATGCCTGCAAGAGGCTGAAACAGGACTGAGCGGAGTCCAGCTCACACCGGCTCTGCTCACTCTGGGAGGGAAGGACTGGGCGAGGCTGCAGCATGGAGGAGAAACAGCTGGTGGGTCTGCAGGGGTCTAAGTCCCAGTGCCGAAGGCCAGTCCCTGATGCAGCGCCCTGGCACTGCAGGCCATGGGCACCCTGGAGCAGAGGGTCCCCCCCTACAGGTGTATCCTCCCCAGCCTAGCGTGGCCAGCAGACCCCAGCCCACAGTCTGCAGGGCAGGGACCAGCTGGGCAGAGGGGCCCGCAGACACAGGAAGTACAAAACCCCCTTGTTCCAAGGGGAACTTCAGCTTCTAAATAAACCTTCCCTCCTCTGCACCATCTGTGTCTCTGAGCCCTGCCAGGGGCAATCTTCCCTCACAAGAGCCCCATCAGGCTATACCACGGTCCTGAGGGCATGCTCCACCATCAGAATTGCCCATGCCAAGGACCTCCACTGCCAGGCCATTGCCCAAGGACTCTGCCATTGACCTGTTGCAGCAAGTGCAGCCCAGTCCTGGCAGAGGGGAGTTCCCAGCCCACTTTGCTGTCTGCCCCAGCACTTCTGCCCCTGCTTGGATGCCAGCCCTGGGATGCCTATCCTGGACCCTGCTCCTTCTCCGCCATTCAAGCCTCCATACTGCCCTGCTGCTGGAGCTCACCCTGCTGCTCCTGCAGACACCATCCTGGCACCCAGGGGGAGGCTTTACATGGGCATGGACCAAGGAACAGGGACCCTGCAGGGTGCTGCTCCCCATCCCTGGGCACTTGTGTCACCAGGGACACTGCTGTCCCTAAGCTGGGGCCAGCTCCAAGTAAGGAGCACTGATGCCATAGGCGATGTGTAGGGAGGGTACGTGGGGGCATGTGCACCCCCTGAGATTGACCACTGCTGACTCTGCCACTCCCCCCTGCCCCTTCTAACCACCAACACTGTTGCGGCCACCTGCGGGTGTTCCCCACTTGGCCCACTCTCGCTGCCGTTGTCACCGCGGCCACCTGTGGGTGGTCCCCACTTGACGCCACCACACTTGTTCCCAGGAGGAGGAAGGCTCCAGCCTCATGCTCCTCCTGCTTCTGCCTGGCACTTGGATGATGACCCTGGGAGCCAAGGGTCCTGCAGCAGTCATGTCTCCTGGAGACCAAGAGTGCATCAGCGCTGTGTGAGGCCTGTCTCTACCTGAGCTTCCCCTCACTTACCACACCTCCACTCCATCTCTCTGCTGTTATCTCCTGCTAAAGAGGTGAGAAAATTGGTATGAAGTTTTCTCCCCTTCAGCTTCACACATCTCTGGGTGCTGCTGTGAGCACTCTGCACCCTGTATGGCCAGTCCCCAACTGCAAAAGAGAAGGAAAGTGAGGCAGGAAGCACGCATCCGCTGCGCTGGCAGTGTCTACGGTGCAGGAGATGCTTCTCAGCCATGTCTCTGCAAGCTCCCACCGTACCAGGGCAAGGGCAGGGCCCCCCACCCCGAGAAGCAGCTGATTTCAGACCCATCCTGCCTTGCTACCACATCCCTTGGGTTCACTCAGATATGCTTCAGTACTGGATGCCTTCACTGTTCCTGGCAAGGCCATCTGCATGGGTCAGTCACGGGGGCAATTCTTCATTCTAGTAATGTCCTCCCTGTTGGATACACCTGGGGAAGTCAGCCTGGTTCCTTCTAACGCATGTCTCCATCTGACTCCTTCCAGCTTCACTCCCTGCTGCCTGCTCGCCCTTCAGATGCCTGCTGTGATGGAGGAAGCTCTCTGTCCCATTCTGCTGTGTCTCCTCCTGAGTTTCCAAAATCAGGGTAAGTGCCAAGGGCCTGCATTTACCCCTGGTGCAGTAGACATTATAGAATTACAGAAAATGAGGGTGGGAAGGGACCTCAGGAGGTCGCATCTAATCCAACCCCCTGCTCCAAGCAGAACCAGCCCCAGCCCCAGCCCCAACCTGAGCCAAGGCTTTGTTTAGCCAGGCCTTAAAAACCTCCAAGGATGGGGATTGCTCCACCTCCCTGGGTAACCCATGGGTGAACGCAGGCTGCTGGTTTCTGCAAGGCAGAGACGGTCTCTGGCCTTGTCCTGGTGCCTTTCATTCCAGCACTGCCCCAGGACAGGATCTCCTGGGAGCTGCAGCCACGTGGACACTATACACTGGTATTAGCACTGTCCCTTGTGTCAGGTGTGAGAGGACAATACCAAGTGCTGCACAGGCACACAAGGCAGGCAGCCTGCAAACAGCCTAGCAGGCCTGGAAGCATCTGCTTCTGCTAAAGGTTTCTGTTCTGAATGTCTCCTGGACCTCAGTTCAAGTGGATTGGGTCTTTAAATGCATTTGAAATGGGAAATTGTGGGGCTGGCTGGGGTCTTTTCATTTTGAAAAAAGAAAGCTTTCACAGCTTTGGAAATCTCTGCGCAGGAGGAGTTTGCAGGTTGGGGGCTGCTGCTTGGGCCTATGGGTGTGCATGGGGGCTGGGGTGGGAAGGGGGTGGGGGATAGTGCTTAGTGCCTTTTGGGTGCACACGTTGCTGAGGTTTTTTGACCCCAGCAGTTTTTTTGTGTTTAGAGCAGGGGGCTGGACCCGATGATCCCAGGAGGTCCCTTCCAGCCCTAAACTTCGGTGAATCTCAGAAGGTTAAAACCCAGATACATGCCACTGAGCTGGGTGACTATGGGTCCTGGGCTGGGTGACTTATTTAAATCAGGATGTGAAGAAATGGCTCTCTTTGTCTGCCTTCCTGCACTGAGTATGCCTAGCCCCCTCTGCCCCGAAATCTGGGTGCTGTTTCCACCTGGTCACTTGGACAGCCATGGGACCTGGGCTGGAGAAATTCCTGTGGGAGTGGGAGAGCTTGCTCTTCTGTTGTCCTGTGTAACCCTAAACCCTCTCCTGAGGGTGCTGATGTTTTTCAAACTGACCAGCTGGCATTAGCCGTGGTCAGAGCATACTGGGTTATGGATGGAACTTAATGATGAGGTAATAAAAGCTTTAAAAGAGAGTGACTCCATTTTGAGAGAGAGACATCTGGTCCCTGAATCAAGCTATGGGCCTCCAGACTCCTCTGGATGTAGATGTGAGTAACTTATCTGAAATCTAGCTAGGAATTTAGAGTTAAGTGTTTATTTGCATATCAAAAGGCAACAAGCCTATACTGTTTTGTTCAAGGTTGGTTTTCTTTCTGTATTCTGCTGTTTTGTATTCTTTCCTCACCCTATCCCTCTTTGATCAATAAATCTATCTGTTTCAGCATGCCACTCTTTGTGTGCTTAAGAGGGAAGGGACCAGCCTTGTTAGCTCACTTTACTAGGCTGGCTAAGGTGGGCTCGGCTTCTTACTTTCTTCCTGTACTGCAGGCTGCTTGTGAATTCTTTAGGCTAATAGAAGCACCCCAAAATCCCACGGTGGGTTAAGCTCCCTCAAGGTCTACAGGGTCTGTGTACCCTGGGTGGTACAGAGTCCTACCAAAGACCCAAGTCCGGGTGGTGGCAGTGGTTACCCCAGGCTTGCGAGTGGGCTCCAGGAAGGAAGTTGGCTGGATCTAGACACCCCAGGGGAGACGCTCAACACATCGTTTTTGGCCGGGCGCAATGAAGTGGGTGGCTCACTAAAGGAGCCCTCTACTACTGGCCCTCCACACAGGCTGTGATCAGTGGAGCTACCTGCTAGTTGGCCATCAAGGACTGTCTCAGCAGCAATCGCCAACTGGGGGAGGGGGGTCCCCCAGCAACCAATTGCAGACGAAGGGACTGGGAGTGGAGGGAGGAAAAAAAATTGTGTGGTGGGGTTCAGCACGTACACATGCATGCAAACTCCCCCCCTGCCACGCCGTGCAAAAGTCTGTGGAGGAAGGGGAGAGGGGAAGGGAAAGGGCCATGGGGGGGCGGGGTGGAGGGAGCGAAGCTGGGGCTGGCACCAGGCAGGGTTCAGGCTCAGAGACAGGGTCTGCTGCTTCCCCATAGTGTGCGCAGTGGCGGGAGATGCCAGTCTCCAATTGCCCTGCGACCCAGCCTGGCCGGGGATACATTCTCCATGAATGGGGCCCCGGCCAAGCTGCATCATGGGACAATCCCCACAGTGCAGCAGGGAGCGGGACAGGGGTGAGGGGGAATGATTTGACCCTGCCCCTACCCTGCTTCCTACTGCACTGTGGGGGTCTTGATCTCTCCCCCACCCTCCAAGCCCAGAAACTAAAGGAAGAAAAGAAACCTTAACTATCTGCCACCTGTGCTGGGCTGGCTGCAAGGCCAACGCACCCATCCCCGGTACAGCATCAGCCTGTGGCTGGGTTGCCCTGGCATTTGGGGGGGCTGAGCCTCATTAGCCCCCTGCCTTCTCCCAGTGGCCGATCATAACTGGCGGCAAAAGTGCCGCCGGCTCTTCTCTCGCAGGGGAAACGGCCAATCTCAGCGGGTGCATATGCACCTGTGTGCACTCACTACGTGTCGCCAAAGCTCACCGCACTGTCTGCTCATCTGGAGCATGGATGGTGCAACGTTACCCTGTCCTGCCAGGTGCAGGATGCCAACAGAGTCACCTTTACCTGGTCCCAAGGTGCATCTACCAGGCCAGACAGAGAGGACCGGAAGCTCTCGGGGCATCAATCCCAGCTGCAACTGGAGATCACTGCGGGCAGCAACGACACCTTCTATCACTGCAACGCCAGCAATGCAGCCAGCTGGGACACGGCCACCATTCATATCAAACTGCTGTGCAACTTCCCAGCCGCAGGTAATTGTCCCTTAGCAGAACCTGACTAAGGGCTGTCCCTGTCTGACCTGAGGGCCCCTTTGAGTCACCCCAAAGCAGAAATGAGTTTGCTGTTGGAAGCAAGTTCTTGTCTCTGGAAACCCAGAGAACAATATTCACTGGAGACTTGCGCCTCCCTGCTCCCAAGCTTTGCATGCTCATGGGCCAGACACTCAGGCCTTGGGAGGTATTTAGACACTTTGCTCTTGTTGAAATAAAGGGCATCAGGCACCTAAATACTGTCAAGTGATGGCCCATAGTTATTCCATGCCTCAGTTTCTCCTCTTGTACAAGCAAGGTGATGCAGATATTGATAGTGCTGGACAACAGATTAATCCAGCGTAGGATTTAATTGGATGGACCTGTAGACCCGGAATGGCCCTCAAGGCTACAGGCCAACCTGCTATAGGGATGCGCTGAGTTAACCTATAACCCAGCGACTACTGTTTCCAAATCGCTGCAGGTAGAGTAAAGGGCATTTCCTCTGCTCCAAGTTCTGCTGTGAGAGAACTGGTGTCAGGCACTGGGACTGCCCCACTCTGGAGCTTCAACCCCAGCAGGCTCCATCCCACTCTAGCCGCCTTTCACAGCCCAGGACTCCCCCCAACCCCCACCCGCCTTGGTACTGCCCACTTCTGCCCACCTGCAGCCAGGGAGAGACCCCAGCCCTGCCACAGGCTGATTGCTCCCCCCTGCCGTGACCCACTGCCTTACTCTGTTCCAGCCTCATCACTGTCCTACTGCTAGGCCAAGGGGCTCATCCTGCTGCTGGTGCTGGGAATACTGATCGCCAGGACTATGGTGGTGCACATCATGGCTGGCAAGCATCCAAAACAGGACTGAGCAGGGCCCAGCCAACCAGCCCTGCTCCCCTCTGGGAGGGAGGGACCAGGGGAGGCATTTGCCTGAAGCTTCCAAGGGGTCCCTGTCCTGTCTGCAGCATGGAGGAGAAGCAGCCAATGGGTCTGTGGGGCTCCAAGTCCCAGCATCTAAGGCCAGTCCCTTATGCAGCCCTCCAGCACTATGGGTACACATCCACCCTAAAGTAGAGCCCCCCCCCATAGCTACCTCCTCCCCTGCTCAGCAGGGCCAGTAGACCCTGGCACCCAAGCTGCAGGGTAGGGACTGGCTGAGCACAGGGGCCCACAGACATGGGCAGTACAAACTGCTGCTGCCCAAGGGCAGCCCCTGCTTGGTCACTCATCCAATGCAGCACAGCCCTTCCTGGCACAGTGCAGCAAAGCCTCAGGACCAAGCAGTGCAGCTGCTTGATGGATCCAAGAATGGCCCAAAAACTGCAGGAGTCTGCCCCTTTCCACCCTCTGCACTGACTGATGGTGCTTGGGTGGGGAGGTCCCAGCCCAGAACCTAGGACATAGCTTCAAGCCTTGGAGCTCAGGAACCTAGTACCCTGTTCTTGATGCCAGTATCTGATCCCACCTGGGCAGGGACAGGCTTCAGGTGTGGGTGCATAGGGGTCACAGCCCATCCCCCTAGCCCCATATAAGCACAGAGGGGTCAAAGGCTGGAGAAAGAGGTGGAACAGTGAGCTGGGCCCCTTCTTGCACTTCCCTGTGACTGGTTCCTAGCATAGGGAGCTTTTGTCTTTCCAGCTGCATCTCCCTGACCCAGGAGAGCTGGGCCTAGCTGGGGTTCACACTACAGCACTCCTGGCATAGATCCTCTCCAGGGCAAGGAGCCCTGAGGGGCAGCTGAGTCCAGAGAAATAGAAAGGGGCAACTGGGGAGACTGAGCTGCCCAAGGGCAATCTGCCAAGGCACCACAAAGACTATCGACCGCCTCCTATGGCGCTGTTCATACACCAAGGAAATGTGGAAGAAGGTAAATACACTGTACATAGCAGTGACAGGGGTTGGACCACTATCAAGAGAGGCAGCACTGTACGGGCACCTGACTAAACACCAGGGCAGCCTGTCAGCCTGCTTCCATCACTTCATGTCCTGCATCAGGAGTACCCTGTGGAAGTCCAAGCACCTCCTAATGTACAGACACACAAACCTCGAGGTGGTAGCCTGTGTTAAAATGACTTTGAGTAGACTCCAGCCCTACTACCAGGAATTGGTAGCAGAGGGTAGTGAAGATGCAGCCAAATCCATCTGGCAGAGGGACACCCAGCACAGGAGCTTTCAAGACCCCTCAGGAGGAAAATGGACAGAGGCAGCGAAGCAGAGGTTGAGACTGTGGCAGAATGCCATCTTAGTTTCTGCCCAAAGTCTGCTATCAGGCTTATGACCTGTCTGACAATTTGGTTACCATGGTCACTGCAGAGGGCCGACACCCCTGCCCCATCTCTTCAGGTAACCCTGAGTTGTAACCTGAGCTCGGTTCATTCCTGAGGGAGGGGGGAAACCTGCTCCCTCTGCCTACTGACTGGCCTCACACACCTGGGTGGGGGGTGCATAAGCTCCCTATTGTTCTTATAGATTCATATGCTCTTCTTCTGGGTGGGATTTTTTAAATATGCCTAAATGTCCGGGACTTTCCTTTACTCCACTAGTGGGAGCAGGGGGAGGGTGATTGGAGGCAGCAGGGGGAACACATGTCCCTGCCTGCAGCTGCAGAGGTGCGTAGAGACCCATGCAGTGCTCCCTGCTCCCTCCGATCACCTCCCCCTGCTTCCATGTCACTGCACTTCTCTGCCCATTCCCCCTTTCTGCAGCCATGAAGGAACCAGGAGGAAGTGCCAGTGGGCTGCATTGGGAGGGGGTTTCTATGCTGCAGGAGGCGCCACTGAGTCAGAGTTTTGGCATGCCCCAGCAGGATTGGGGCCGGAGGGTGCTGGAAGGGAGACCCAGTGTCCAGTCACCCTGCCCTGGGCCTCTTCTCACACTTCCTCTGCTGCTGGATGATGGAGCCACAGCCCAGCCCCACTCAAGCCACCTGTCCCCTGCTTTATGCAGGGTTCCTTGAACTCGTGGGTGCTCAGGGTCTGCAGGATTGAACCCTCAAGAGGGAACTCAGCCTGGTTCCTCCTTCTTCATCATTTCTTAATCTGACTTCTTCACCCTGGCCACATAACCTTGCTCTCCACCGCCTGGTCTGCACTCGCCTGCCCTGCTCAGCTCAGCTGGGATGAAGGGGGCTCTCGGACCCCTGCTGCTCTCCCTCCTTCTGCTCCTCCAAGCTGGAGGTGAGTGACAAGGGGCTGCTCTTCCACAGGTGCAGCCTGGGGCAAACTCAGGCATGGGAGAGGGGGGGGGTCTTTGGAGCAGAGACTGTCTTTGGGAGCTGTGTTTGTGCCGTGCTTTGCAGAGGGGAGCCCTGGGCTAGGATGAGGGTTATCATAAAGTAGTAGGAGCTTCCATGGGGAGTCATCTTTTCTACTTGTTCTGTAGAAAATGCAAGACACGGATGGCCTCTAAGTGCCCTTTGAACATGAGAGAAGTGTGCAGCAGCCTGTATTTCCCTAATGAGCTGAGGAGTCTGCAAATCCTTCTCTCCCCCTTGCCCTTCTGAACCCGCAGGTTGTCAAGAAGTAAAAGTGGTGGCTGCTGTTGGGGAGACGGTTCAGCTGCAGCCCAAGACATGGCCGTCGACCTGGGTGGCAATCAACTGGATACTGAAACTACCAGAGCACTACTGGATCCTCAGACACGATGAGAAGGGCACCTCGGCCAATCCGTTTCTGCCCTTTGCTGACAGAGTCTCTTTCCACCCTGGGAATCTCTCGCTGCAGATTAACTCGGTCACAGAGAAAGAAAGGGGCCTCTACTCCATGAACCTGACGCTGAGGAATGGCTCTGAAGTCACCAGTTACTTTCGTCTGTTTGTGCTTCGTGAGTTTGGGGGTGCCGCTTTCCCCCCGTGCTCACCCCCGGGGCACCCAGCCCCTCTCACTGGGACTTCTCCTTCCAGACCGTGTCCAGCAGCCCAAGATCGAGGCATCTACTTCCCAGAAGAGTGGACAGTGCTACCTTACCCTGCTCTGCTTGGTGCCCAAAGCTGACCGGGTCACCTACAGCTGGTCTCAAGGCGTATCTTCACACCCAACAAAAAAGCCGATCTGCAGCTGGAAATCCCTAAAAGTGGCAGCAACACCTTCTATCACTGCAACGTCAGCAATGCCATCAGCTGGGGCATGGCCACCATCGATGTCAAACCGCTGTGCAACTACACAAGTAAGTGCTCCCTTTGCACCAGACATATGAGGGGGACAGGGATGTTTTGCATCTTCCTGGGTCCTATGGAGCTGGTTCATGAGTCTGGCCTGAATGAAACCAGAGGAAGGGGCCTAGCATCCATGAGGATGCTCTTTTGCCCCAGCCTCCATCCCGGTCTGGTTCATCTGAGAGCCTGGCAGACTGGTGGGGCTGGATCTCTGGCCTTGGGGAACCTACTGGGAAGCCGCAGAGCTGGGAGCACCATTTCCCCAGCACTGGGGCAGTCCCCCTGGGTGGGCTGCCCCAGAACCAGGGATGCTGACTGGTCTGCCTGGAAGTAGGGAGACTCATTGCAGGTCTACACCCTCTCCCAGCCGCCCAAGGGCAACGCTCAAGCACGTCCTGCCTCCCCCTCCCCCTGCACACACCAAGCCCAGATAGATGCAGCAAAGCCGTGCGCCAGAGCAGTGGTGTGGGGGCGCCCTCGGCACGGCCTTGCCACCTCCTTCCCGGGCTGGTCCATGCGGGGGGAGCAGGAGCAGGTTGTGCTGGAGCACGGTGCCATGGGGCATGCTGGGAAAGGGCATAGATGTGGCCCAAAATCCCTGCAGGTGCCTGGTTCCTGGTGGGTCGGGAAAGTCTGGAGCCTGGGACTGTGGGAGCACAGGGTCCTCTGCTGCGTCTGCAGGGAAAAACTGCCCCCAAAACTATGTTGTGGGGGAGTTCCCAGCCCCAGGCGATCTGCCTGCCAGGTCTCTCCGGAGCTGGTTCCCAGGGAAATGAACAGGAGACCAGCTCTGCCCCAGCCCTGCCTGCCTCGCCCTCCCCGTGCTCTGCACTCCTGTTACTTGGGCCCCTTTTGTGGAAGTGCCGTATGCTGGGGCATCTCCTTGGCTAAGCCAGGGACCCCCAGGGCTGTGTTGGACTGGACCTGGGTGAAAAGTTTCCATCAGATTTTTGTTTTGACTGAAAGCCGAGATTAAACTTTTCACTAGAATTTTCCAAATTCTTTGCAAAAATCCCATGGTTTTTTTCCACTTCTTAAAAACTGAAAGCACGTCGACGATGATGGTGGTGGTGGTGATTAAGGTGGTGGTGGTGGTGATGATAATGATGATGGTTGTAGTGGTAGTGATGATGGTGGTAGTGGTACTGATGATGGTGATGGTGGTGGTGGTGATGACGGCGATTATTATTATTATTATTATTCTTGGTTTGTTTTGCCTTTTGAGATGAAATCTTTCCAGCTTTTGACTCCTGAAAACCAGAAATAACCACTGGTGAGTTTCTGACTTTTCTACCACAGGTGTTATTATTATTCTTGGTTTGTTTTGCCTTTTGAGATGAAATCTTTCCAGCTTTTGACTCCTGAAAACCAGAAATAACCCATTGGTGAGTTTCTGACTTTTCTGCCACAGGTGATATTCTTTTCTGTTGGCTGCTCCCATATAAATAGGTTTTGGTTGATTGTTTTCATCAACATGTTCCTTGTGAAAATCAGAAACCTCTAGGATTTTTTTTTCTCCATTTTTGACCAGCTTTTGGGCGTTCCTTGTGAAAATCAGAAACCTCTAGGATTATTTTTTTCTCCATTTTTGACCAGCTTTTGGGTTGATCAGAGCTTCTAAAATGCCAAGAACAGTAGGAAATGGCCTTGGTTTCATTCAGCTCTTTACTTATATTAAAATTTAGAACTTCAAAAACCACTGCCTGCTTCTTTCCATGTGTTTGCTTTCTCTGTGAAATGTGGAACCTTCTTTCCTGTAAACCCCAGTCTCGTGGCAGGTGGAGCTCTCTGGAGCTAGGCTCTGTTATCTGCAGATTACCACAGACCAAGAAGAAAAAGCAAGGTAGCTGTGGCTTTATTTCCTTGCTTGTGTTCCTGCTATCAGCCCCTCACCAATCCTTTGCTTAGCCCTGCCAGCTCTTTGCCGATCCAAACTCGGATAACCACCATAGGGACTGATTATTCTGTGCTCACCCTCCGGTTATATTGCTCACTGCCAAGAAGATGGGAGCCCGACCACCTGCCCTACTCTGATTCCTGCTTTTCCAGGCTGGAGGTAAGTAGCACTTCATTACAAGGTAAAATATCAGGAAACTGAGGCCAGTTGTCTGCTAGGAGCTAGGCCCCGGTTGCAGGATAGGAATGGCTGTGCTGTGTTGTGAAGAGAAGCAGCTCTGGGGTGGCGTGGGGATGCTGTCATCATGTGGACCAGGTGACAGCTGAGATGCATGCACTTCTGCAAGAACAGAGTCAAGCAAGGTAGGGAGGGAGACCCTAGAGAAGGAAGTCACTTCCATTATCATATTAAATCGTTTCAGAATTCATCTCAGTCACTCGGGCATTTCCCTCGAAGTCCTGGGTTCCCACACTGAACGTCTCTCCCATGCTGTGGCAGCATCTGAACCTCCAGAGAGGAGGAGGATAGTAAGAGGGGGTTGACAGCTGTTACTGCAGCCTTGTCGGTCTAGGCCCATCCATGGTCCCCGGTGTCCTGCTGGCTCAATGCAGATTTCAGGGCTGCGTGATGTCTGTCTGGACCCAGAAAGAGCTTGCCCAGACCCCCGTTTCTGATAGCTCCATAGCAGTGGTGGGGTGCTGGGTCTCTTAAAACTTCCTGACCAAGAGAGTGCCAATAAGGCCCATGGAAGAGGCATTGCAAGGCAGGTCCCTCAGGGTTGCTCGCATGCCATGGGTGCCAAGGGCAATGTTCCCCTTTACATCATGGTGCAGCTGCAGGCACAGGGTGTGCATCTCCATCCTCTATGTCCCCACCCCACCACCTCCTCTCCTGTCTCTGTGCCATTATTTCCTGCTAAAGTGGTGACATAACCGGTGTGAGGTTTTCTCCTCTGCAGCTTTACACATCTCTCAGTGCTGCTGTGAGCGCTTTGCACCCTGTATGACCACTCCCCAACCACAGAGGAGAAGGAGCGTGAGGCACAAAGCATGCAGCCACTGCTTCTCATCATACAGCAAGCTCCCATCCTACCGGGGCAGGAGTAGAGGCTCCCCTCCCCATGCCCCAAGAAGGCGCTGTATGTCAGACCCATCCTGACTTGCAACTACATCACTTGGGTTCACTCAGCTCTGCTTCAGTACTTGATGCCTTCACTGTTCATTGCAAGGGCATCTGTATGGGTCAGTCTCACTAGGAACAATTCTGCTTTCTAGTAATGACCTCCCTGTTGGATGCACCCGTGGGCACTCAGAGCCTGCAGGATGGAGCCCTTCATGGGGAAATCAGCCTGGTTCCTCCTTACTCATATCTTTGTTTGACTTCTTCCAGCCTCACTCCCAGCTGCTTGCTCGCCCTTCAGACACCTGCCACAATGGAGGAAGTCCTCTGTCCCTTTCTGCTGTGCCTCCTCCTGCATTTCCAAGCTCAGGTTAAGTGAGAAGGGGCTGCATTTACCCCGGGTGCAGCCTGGAGAGGATATAGAACCACAGAAAATGAGGGTTGGTAGGGTCCTTAGGAGCTCATTGAGTCCAACCCCCTGCTCAAAGCAGGACCAGCCACAGCTATATCATCCCAGCCAAGGCTTTGTGTAGCTGGGCCTTAAAAACCTCCAAGGATGGAGATGGCTCCACTTCTCTAGGTAACCCATTCTAAGTTTCCCTAGGGTGAACACAGGCTGCTGGTTTCTGCAAGGCAGGAACAGTCCCTGGTCTTGTCGTGGGGCCATTTGTTCCAGCGCTGCCCCAGGACGGGAGCTCCTGTGCGCTGCAGCCACATGGGCACTTACACCGGTATTAGCACTCTCCCTTGTACTCATAGGTGAGAAAATAACACCGAGCACTGCACAGAAACACAAGGTAGGAAGCCTACAAATAGCCTAGTGGACTCAGATGCATTTGCTTCTTGTTTCCTGATGGTTTCTGTTCTGAATTTCTCCTGGACCTTGGTTGAAGAGGATTCTGGTCTTTACATGCATTTCAAACTGGAAATTGTGGGGGGTGGAGGGGTGGTCTTTTTATTTTTGAAAGAAGCTTTTGCAGCTTTGGAAATAGCTGTGTGGGAGGGGTTTGCAGGTGGGTGGGGGCTGCTGCTTCGGTCCGGGCGGTGCATGGGGGCTAGCACAGAGGTTAGTGCCTCAGAAGGTTAAAAACCCCTCATACATGCCACTGAGCAGCAACACAGGGCCTGAGCTGGGTGATTTCATTTAAATTGGGTTGTGCTCCTTGGAGCTACCTGCTATTTGCTCATCACAGGCTGTCTCAGCCCCGACAGGGGTTTGCACTTATCCAGGTCTGGAGGAAGCCTGGATCCACGTGTTTTCAAGGCTGTCAGCCCTGCCCTGCCCCTGGCTCTGAGTTCCCTTGAAGCCAGACAGGGAAGTACAACTACTTTACCCTACCTTTCCCACATGGGCTTAGGAGCGTGTTAACCCCCTGCTCTCTCCTGCTCCCAGTCTTTTCTGAAGCACTAGCTTGTAAAGAAAAGGAAGTGGCTGCAGTTACAGAGGAAAACATGCTGTTAGTACCAGAGAATCAACTGTCTGGTTGGGAAGAAATCACCTGGAGAGTGAGACTCAGCTCTAGAAAGCTGTATTCGATTGTGACATTTTCTAGTAGTGACAGTGTCGTGGACCTCAACACAGCCTCCCCGTTAGGCAGGAGAATCGCCTTCCACCCCGGGAATCTCTCGCTCCAGATTAAGCTGGTTAAGAAGTCGGACAGCGGTGTCCTATCCATGGATGCAATATCTGCATCTGGCAGACTCAATACCACCTGCTTCCATGTGTCTGTGTTTGGTGAGTACCTGGGCCCTGCTTCCCCCCAATCTCACCCCCTCGGGAGCACCTACCACCGTCAGTCCCTCACCAGAACTTCTTGCAGACCAAGCCCGGCAACCCAACCTCGCAGCACTTTCTACTCACTCAGAGCTTGGAAAGTGCAATGTGACCCTGTCCTGCCACGTCCCAGCTGCCGACAGAGTCACCTACAGCTGGTCCCGAGGTGCATCTTCCAGCCCAGACACTGAGGACCAGCAGCTCCCGGGACATCAATCCCAGCTGCAGCTGTAGACCACTGCAGGCAGCAACGACACCTTCTATCACTGCAAAGCCAGCAATGCAGCCAGCTGGGGCACGGCCCCCATCCATGGCAAACCACTGTGCAACTTCCCAGCCACAGGTAAATGTCCCTTAGCAGGAACCTGACTAAAGATTGTCCCCATCTGGCCTGAGGGCCCCTTTGAGTCACCACAGAAGCAGAAACACGCTTGCCGTTAGAAGCAAGTTCTTGCCTCGGGAAACCCAGAGCACAATATTTGCTGGAGACTTGCACCTCCCTGCTCCCAAGCTTTGCGTGCTCATGGGCCAGACACTTAGGGCTGGGCTTGGAAGATATTTAGACACATTGCTCTTGTAGATATAAAAGGCATTAGGCACCTAAATACTGACAATTGATGGCCCATAGTTATTCCATGCCTGAGTTTCTCCACTTGTACAAGCGAGGTAATACTGATGTTGATAGTGCTGGACAACAGGTTGACTCACCGTAGGAATTCACTGAGTGGACCTTTAGACCAGGCATGGCTCCCCGGCCTACAGGTCAACTTACCATAGGGATGCATTGAGCTGACCTATAACCCAGCCAGACAGGAATGCATGGGGTTGCCCTGTAGCCCAGGTCCTGGCAGTAGCACCATGAAAACAGCTGGATACATAATGAGGTGGCACAGCTGTGCCATCACTGCTTGGCCCTGCAGTGACCAGCTGAGCTGCTGCTTGAGCACGACTTCCCCGTAGCTCCGTGGAAACCGAGGCCTGAGCTCACTTCCATTTCCCATCACCGCAGTTACAGTAAAGGGCGTTTCCTCTGCTCTGAGTGGTGGTACGAGAGACCTGGCATCGGGCACTGGGACTGCCCTACCTGGGGCCCCGGTCCCAGCAGGCATGTCCCGCTCTGGCCTGTGATCTCCACAACCCAGGGCTCCCCCCTCCCCAATGCTGCCTGCTCCTGCCCATCAGTAGCCAAAGAGGGACCGCAGCCCTGCCACAGGCTGATTGCTCCCCCGGCTCTGACCTGCTTCCTTGCTCCGTTCCAGCCTCGTTGCTGTCCTACTGCCAGGCCGAGGGGCTCGTCCTGTTGCTGGTGCTGGGGGTGCTGATTGCTGGGAATATGGCAGTGCACATTGTAGCTGAAAAGCAGCCGAAACAGGACTGAGCAAGGCCCAGCCAGTAGGCTCTGCTCCCCTCTGGGAGGGAGGGATTGAGGGAGGCATTTGCTTGCAGCTTCCAAGGGGCTCCTGTCCCAGGTGCAGCACAGAGAAGCAGCTGTTGGGTCTGTGAGGGTCCTAGTCCCAGTGCCAGAGGCCAGTCCTTCATGCAGCCCTGCAGCACTGTGGGCACATGGGCACGCTGGAGCAAAGGGTCCCCACATAGCTGTCTCCTCACCCTTGCCCTGCAGGGCAGGGACTGGCTGGGCACAGGGGCCAGCAGACCCCAGCACTACAAACTGCTGCTGCCCAGGGGCAGCCCCTGCTTGTCCCCTCATCCAGTGCAGCACAGCCCTTCCTGGCACCACACAGTGAAGCCTCAGGACTCAGGTGTGCAGCTGCTTGATGGATCCAAGAATGTCCCAAAAACTGCAGGAGTCTGCCCCTTTCCACCCCCTGCACTGACTGGTGCTGCTGGCAGTGGGGAGGTCCCAGGACCTAGGACCTGCCCCAGCCAGGACACAGCTTCCTGCCCTGGCGCTCGGGCAGGCGGCCGCGGTGATGTTGGTAGCGAAGGTGGGCTAAGTGGGGACTGCCTGCAGGTGCCTGCAGTGGTGACGGTGGCAGGGAGAGGGGGATGACAGGCAGCAAGTGGGGACCACCCGCAGCTGCTGGCGGCCATGTCAGCAGTGATGGGGGGGCAGCGACTGCCCGCAGAAGCTGGCGGCGGCCAATCTCGGGGGGTGGGGGTATGTGCCCCCCTCCACCCCCCCGTGCCCCCCTTACGTGTCACCTATGGCTCTGGTGCAGCCACCTCTTCTAGCTCTTGACCCTCTGTCCGACATGGGAATAACCAGCTCTTGTCTCCTTCCAGACAGGAACACTGCCTCGTCCATGCTCCAGCTGGCGGCTGATTCTGCAGTGACTCTCGGGATCTTCCTGCTCCTCCATAACTTGCAGTCTGGGCCCATACAGGGACAGATTAGTTAAAGGAAAAAGGATTCTGATCCAATCCAGAGGTTGATAGAAATGGATGAAGGACTTGCTGGATTGCTGGAAAGTTTTCAGCTCAGTCTCCCCACCTGGATGCCAGCGGGGGACTCTGCTGCACCTGTCGCAGGAAGATAATGGGGCTGCTCACAAACCCGTGGCCAGGGAAATGGGGGACTTCTCACTCAGATTAGCAGGCACCACTCCAGGAGCACCTGGGAGGAATAAACCTTGCAAGTTTATCGCAGATAGACTCCTTGATGAATTTTTCTAGGATTTTCCCTAAAATGGAAGTTAGGCTAACTGGCCTATAGTTACCTGGGTCCACCCTTCTACCCTTCTTGTGGATGGGCACAACATTGGCCCTCTTCCAGTCCTCAGGGACTTCTCCAGAGCACCACAAGTTGTGGAAGAGTTTTGCCAGGGGTTCCACAATGATTTCAGACAGCTCCTTGAGCATGCTCAGATGAAGATCATCCAGTCCCACTGACTTGTATATCTCTAATTTTTTAATTGCTCATACACCAATTCTATGACAATAGTAGGAAGGCGATTATTCCTACCGTGCTCATCCTGTACTCTACCTGTTGTTGTTTTCCTCTTGGTCCGGTGAAAGACTGAGGCGAAATAGTCATCCAGGAGTTCAGCTTTCTCCTGGGTACCGGTAACCAGCTCTCCAGGTTCCAGAGGCTGTTAGCTGCAAATGGTGGGGGCACTTCCCCTCTGAGTACAGCACGCGTGAGCTATAATGAGTCATACTGTGGTGTTTCAATGGGAAGTTATTAAAGGAGAAAAAAATACTTCCTTTCAACTGTGAAAATGGGCTTATTTAGTTTGGAGAAGAGAAGACTGAGGGGGGATTTAATAGCAGCCTTCCACTCCTTGCAGGGTGGTTGCAAAGAGGATGGAGCTGGACTGATCTCAGTGGTGGCAGATGGCAGAACAAGGAGCAATGGGCTCCAGTTGCAGCAAGGGAGTCTGCTCTTGCATTTGTGAAATGAGTTTGGAAGCCAGGGACTCCCCGACCTGCCCAGAAAGTCCATTCAACTCCCTGCTCTGAATGCACTGGGTCCTTGCATGGCAATGGTGGTGCTGGATAGGTGAGCAGCTTGGGACAGGTATGGACACCCCCCCTCGTCCTGCAGGCGCTCTCCTCCAGCCCAGTCCCAGTGTAGAGCTGTTCTGCCTGCCTTGCCTCTTCCCACAGCATCATCACACGCTGCCCCACTGCCTCCAACTAGGCTTAAGCATGTTTAACACCAGCTCCAGGCTCGGGGTGCTTCCCGGCTGAGACTGTGCTCCTGTCTATGGGGCCTTGGAGCCTGTTCTGGTGAGAGGCACAGGATGGAGCCAGTTCCCTCTTCTGTCTGAGCTGCACCACGTAAGTGTGTCAGACAGCCATGAGCTCCACACACATGGGGCAAAGCTCCAGCAGGAGCCAAAGGTGCTGGTGGATGCTGGGTTTCTATTGCTGAGATGCAGGACACAGCTGCTTGCCCAGCTGCCTTCAGGGGAGCTGTTCCTGAGACGTACAAGGACTAAGAGGACACAGCCTCAGCATCGGTCCTGCTTCACTACCTGGCAAGCTATACAAAAATCAATTAAGCCAAGGAACCAGCAGCCACCATTGCTTTATGCAGATAAACCTGCACAGACTTCAGGCATCTACAAAGGAGCATTCAATCAAGGAAGATTGCTTTTTTTTAACATTACCTTTCCCTCCTAAACCTTTGCACACCCCTAACTTTTCCCTGTTCTGGTGAAAGCATTGGATGCTGTCTTCCACCTCTCCCCATGCATTTGTTTCACCAAAACTTTGGCATGCCCCCCCTGAAAGAACTGCCTCCCAGCCTGCTCACTTTTTGAGTTGCTTGTTCCCCTCTTCTCTCTGTCTCTCTCTGGCCATTGTCTTTCAACCAGCAACTGGTTGCCTAGGGCATCCCCTAAGGAGGGGGATTCCCCTCTCCTTGTGGCCAGATCTATTGTTAAACTTCTGGCCTTTGGCCTGGGAGGGCAGTCCTATGGCAGTGGTCCTTCCTCAAGGTGTGAGCTGATGTTACTCAAACCCACTGGTCAGCATCAGTGATGCTGAGAAAATCCCTGATGTTGGCTGGGTCCACGTGGTGAGGTCAAGAGGGCTATTTAAGAGGGTCCCTCCAGGACGAAGGCAGGATGACATCTTTAAGACACACACGCAGAAGCATGGACCTCTGCAACTCGCTCATCCTCTGGATGCGGAAGTGAGTAACGTACTAGAAACCTAACTAGGAACTTAGTGTAACGTACTCTAGCCACGTACCAAAAGGATACCAAGCAGCTTTTGTTTGCTCAGGGTTATTCTTTTTTCTCTGACTTGTACCCCTCCCCATGCCTACCCTTGCTACCCAATAAAGCTGTCTGTTATAGCCAGTCTTGTTGTACATGCTTGAGAGGGTTTGGGCAGGCCTTGTTGCTCCCTTTACTCAGCTGACTAAGAGTAAATACTTTCTATGCTTCAGGCTATAAGAAGCACCCAGCTATATCCTTGTGGGTTAAGCAACCCCTGGGTCTACAGGTTCTGTATACCCTAGATGGTACAGGTCCCAGACACAGACCTGAATCTGGGTGGTGGCAGCGGTACCCCAGGCTTGCAGGTGTGCTCCTGGATAGGGGTCATGCACCACAGGAGGCACTCAAAGCTTGGTTTTTGGTGGGGTGCAGTGAGGCAGGCAACTTAGCACAGGAGCACCCCTTATTGGCCCGCCACAAATGGTGCTAGAGGCGGGAACCCACAGCCTGCAGTCTAGAAGGCATAATGTGGGGAAGGAAGGAAGGACACTGAAAACCCTTGAGCAAATTAATCTTTAATTGTGCATCGGGTCAAGTAGACAGAGTAAATACCTAGGATGGCTGACAAATATGTCCTTGGATGACCTGGATGATGTGGTGAAGGAAACGAAGGGGAGAGGCCTCCAAGTAAGAAAGGGGCAAAAGAAAGAGGACCCGATTGAAACCCTGTGGGACAATGATAATGCCAAGGACTCTCCCCCTCTCCTCAGCCCAGTGTTGACTGAGGACCCCAAGGTGTGATCCCACTCTGAAACCTATGATTTCAAGCTCCAGAAATACAAGCTGGAGCTAGAAGTTCAAGGGGCACAGCGATAAGCCGAGATCAAGCTACACAAACCAGAAGCTGAGGAGCGCAAGCTCAAGCTCGAGGTTGAAGAGACAAAGCTCAAGTGTGAACATGAGCTTCCAGTACTCCAGAGACAGCCAGACACAGGAGCCGTGGCCGTCCCCCAACAGCTGATGCAAGCTACACCACCCAGGGTGACTCCCAAGGACTTCACCCAGTACAGAGACGGAGAGGATTCAGAAGTATTCCTGAGTAATTTCAAAAACCAAGCGCACTCGTGCAAACTGGGAAAAGACGAACTCATGAGATATATAGATATTGCTGGGCTGGTAACAGGCAATATGTCTGTTATCCTGAACAGCCTGCGCTCTGGGTTGGCAAATGACTATGATGCCTTTAAAGAGACTGTGTAAGAGGCTGCCCACCGAGCCTCCATGGCAATACTCCCCTTTGTTTTAAGAGTGACAGCCTAGTTAATATAAAGGTCTAGAAGGGCACAGGAATGATAATGGATAACCCTGGGGATGTGAATCCCCCTCCGTAGAAGGGGCAGGATGAGCAGTCCTCCTTGTGCCCCAGTCTGGGGTAGCAGTCTGTGCTTTACCCATGCATCAGCAAAGCAGGGGCAACTTGACAGCCAGATTAAATATGTGTTGTGCAGCGCCCTTGTCACCCCTGTGCTAAGAGCTCATCAGTGTGGATGTTTCTGAGCAAGGACCCCTGGACCGTGGCAGTGCACATCATGGCTGGCAAGCAGGAGAAACAGGACTGAACAGGATCCATGGACCCAGCCCACATGGACCCTGCTTCCCTCCAGGATGGAAAGCCTGGGAGAGGCTGCAGCACAGAGCAGAAGCAGGCTGTGGGTCTGCAGGGTCCATCTCTGAGTGTCAGAGGCCAGTC